GCCCTGGCGCCGGACCGCTCATAAAAATCTTTCTTCCCTCGGTTTCGGCGTTGACAATCGGGTTTTCGGTCGATCTACCTGCGCTTTTCACACTTTGCCCACAATACCATTCCCTACCATGTCCGTGACCCTTCTTCAAAGCGAAGTGAGCGGACCCTAGCGTTTCTCAGATAGGGGAACTATCGAATTGTGACTACCGAGCGGGAGCCGAGACAAATTTACATAATTATGATCTGAACTCGAAGTTTAAGTTGCAAGCCTACACGCGAAGAAATCGGCTGTGTAGTTAGCCTAGGTATCGAACAAAACTCAGCAATTGCCGCAAAAATCGCATTTGTGAACCGCTTTTTATAAATATTATTGCAGCTAATTTTTTTTTAAGATTTTTTTTTTTTTAAGTAATAATCCCGTACAAATAATGTTTTCTGTGCTGTTTAATCCGCGACAGCAGTCACTTTCTCGGCTCATTAGACATGCATTCGACGCTTGGAAGCCGTTAGGGCGACACCCAGATCTTGTCTAATTGCTTGGCGCCAGATTCCCCCCAGCTCCTCCAATCTGCTGCCCCCTGCGCCTCCTTGAAGCAACGATCCACCGATCTGCCGCACAATTAATCATGTGCCGGTGGCATATTGTTTTGGGCTGGCCAGAACTGTTTGCGTTACCTTTTAAATCGATGCGATGCGATGCGATGCGGAGACACCCCGCTGCCCGCCACTTTTGGTCCATAATTACACACTTGTTAGCCGGGGCAACAAATCACAGGCGATATGAAGTAAAATAGAATAGATGCCCGGCGACGCCTTCTTTTGCAATGCTCCTTCCCTGATTTATACGCAGTTCGTGGCAGGCCACTTAATCAAGTCCTATTCTTCTCATCCCTGCAGCCGCATGTTCCCCTCGATGCGAGTTTCCCTCAGCGGCTTGGAGGAGGAGGCCAGCTATTGCGTGCTCCTCGAGATGGTGCCCATTGGCGACTGCCGCTACAAGTTCTCCGGCTCCCAGTGGGTTCCGGCCGGCGGAGCCGAGCCGCAGAGTCCGCAGCGCATGTACCTGCATCCGGACAGTCCGGCCACCGGTGCCCATTGGCAGTCCCAGGCACTGCTCTTCAACAAGGTCAAGCTGACCAACAATACCCTGGACAGCAGCGGACACGTAAGTTTGCACGCGTTCACAGAATCCACTGAGTGGGTTACTTACGGCTCTCATTACCATTTCCAGATCGTTTTGGCCAGCATGCATAAGTACCAGCCACGCCTGCACATCATCCGCAGCAGCGAGCTCACCCAACTGCCCTGGGCTCCTCAGCAGGCGTTCGTTTTCCCGGAGACGGAGTTCGTGGCTGTCACGGCCTATCAGGTGGGTTAAGCACAACATCCTTCTCGGCCTCCATTGAGGAGATGTCTGACAGGACAAAGGCTCTGCGGGGGTCGTCGCCTAATTGAGGCATTTCCAAATTTGTCGCCTCGCCAGCCACTTGAGATTGAGCCTAACTAGGATCACTGTGGCACTTTTCCAGTGCCCCCCAGTCGGCGGCTACTCACTGACGCCTCGTAGATCAAATTTCTGCCAGACAGAAACATTAGCGATCGTTTTTCATGCTATTCAAGTTGATTTTGAATCATAGTTTTTGTGTTTCATTTCAAGCTGCATATCTATCTGCTATGACCATAAATTCATTTGTTAGGCTTCTTTATCCAAATTAAAAGTTTAAAAGAAATACATGTGCAGCTACTAGGTTCTCTTGTTGTACTGAACAACTGAAAGCTAAATAACTATGTTAATTTATAAATTTTCCTTTATCCTTGCAGAACGATCGCATCACCAAATTGAAGATCGACAACAATCCGTTCGCCAAGGGCTTCCGCGAGTCGGGTCAATCCCGCTGCAAAAGGAAGCTGAACAGCAGCGGAAACTCCACTTTGGAGTCGGAGGACGATGGCTCCAGTGTGAGCAGCTGCGACTCTCCGCAGGCGAAGCGGCAGCGCCAGGATTTTGAGCAGGACTCAGCGGGCAGTGTTTCCCCAGCTTACTATGGTGCAACTCATCCAGTTGCCAACTCCATGTCGCCGTATCTCCGCCATCCCCTGAGCTATGGACCCAGTGGTGCTGCCGGATTGCCGCCCAGCATTGCAGCCGCCTATTTCGGTGGAGTTCCCACTCAGCTGCTGCCCATGCCCCCAGCCACATATGTGCCAACTGCCGCTCCTGTTAGTCCTGTGCCCTCACAGCCAGTTGGCTCCAGCACACCCACAGCCTCCGCCTCAGTATCAGCAAAACCTTCGACCTCCACGAAAAGAAATAGCTTCAGCATTTCAGCCATTTTGGCCTACTAAAAGGATGTATTTCGAAGCCTACTAAGTTGGAGTCATCTTCTGTTGTGATTAGTGAGAAACGTGTGCATATACCTTGTAAGCTACTCTATGCTACATTTAAGATCGTCTAAGAACCAAGCTGCAATCATATAAGTTCATTTGTTAATTCGTTTTAAGAGTCTTTGGTCGAAATAAACAAATCAGACATCGAAGCCGTAGAAAATGCAAAACTATTTGCGGGGGTCAACAGCAACCTTCAGAGTTTCCGTTTTTACAGGTTTTGGCCATACCGCCAGTGGCTGGGCCAAAAGCAGTTCTCGGCCGCTTTGGCGGACCCAAGACAAATTAATGCTCTCCATTATGGTGACCAGTCGGTTCTCGAGCCACACGTATCTGAAACACATCCAACTCCGGTAGTAGTTAAAGCAATTCTCCAAAGATAAGGCGTCCATTATGAGCAGCGATTTGACGGCTTTCAGGCTGTTTGGTCTTTGCCGACTGCCAACTCCCCTGCGATTCCATCCCCATCCCTGGGACGCGGAGATGACGCAGAGCTGGGTGCACGGAGAAAAAAAAAGTATCTCACATTATTATTGCAAACATGAAGAAAGGCTTCAATATATGACTGATTCATTATCTTCAAGGAGAGTGAACAACAACGTACATTACATGCGCGAATTCTTTAGCCTTACTTAAATTTACTAAAATGTATACATTTCAAGCGCGATTTTTTATTTATATAAGGTTCAGCTTATTAATTGAAGACCAAGATTTTAGTTTGTTTTAGCTTGAGCTAAGCTAATAGAAATGGTCTTGAATATGCCTGATAAGTTAAAGCAACTGCATCTGACCCCCGACTTTTCTTGCAGTGCACGTGCTGCTGCTGCCGTCTTGTGAAATTTTCGTTTATCGCACCTTTTATGGCCATTGGCCGGGCCGAAACGAAGTGGGAGCTGGCCAAGAAACCGAACCGAAACAGAAACCGACGGAGAGACTTTGGTGTGGTCACTCCTTGTGTGCATTATCGTGTCAAATGCGACAAATCTGTCTGTGGGCCGGCGGCTGCCTTTCAGCTTGCATAATTGAGCTGATAACTCGCCGCTCCGTGGATGTGTGCGGTCCACTTTTGAGCGTTTCCTAAACGGTGGCGCCAAACATTTCGTGTTTAATATTTTTAATTAAGTTTTTAAGTGCGCCCAGAAGGAGATGGTAGCGGCAGCACAGAGAATATCTAGGCACTCACATGATGGCCCGAAGGCGGTTAGTTCAAAGGGCCAACCAATTGGTTTGGCTTCCATTCATAGAAACCTATGCATATATTATGTAAGCCAAATCAGCGCGAAATAATTCACCAGCCACACGAAGTCGCGTTTCAAGCTGCTTTTTTGACTAATTTCGGCTTAGTTTCGTATTAGTGGATTTTGTTGTTCGATTTGTTGGCGCATAAATTTACATCTGAAATGCTGAAACAATTAAATTATGGGATTTGCACGTTTTCACCAAAAACAAAGGGGGCCAAAAAACAACATCAAATCAAATTTGTTGTCGGCATTTGCGCTTCAGAAGTGTTTTTTAAATGCTAGGTGTATTTTTGCTGACTCGCTGCTGGCTGCTTTTTGAAAAAACGGTGGCAAAAAGCGTCAAAATTCGTAGATTATGAGATAAAAATGGAAATTGGAGACGCTCAGGCATTGCATTTCTAATTTGCGCTTGTTTTAATATACTTAATGAATTTTTATGTGTAGGTTGGTCCAATACCAATATGCCCAATACCCAAATTCAATACCCAAATCCAAATCCGGTTTTCACTCGAAGCTGTTGATAATGATAATGAGGATAACGATGCTTTATTGAGAAGGTGTTGCCGTTCGGATCTGAATTTTATTTGCGCCACATGTTAGCGGATTGTTGTTGCCGCTGCCACTGCCGCTTTGTTGTTCTTTATTGCTAATTATAATATATTTGATTTGGTATTTAAGCTTTAAGCTATAAAAATGTTCGCATTCTCAGTTTTACGAGCCAACTGACTGCAAATATTCAATTAAATTGTGCGAACGAGAACAGGTCTATGTGGGTTGTGAAAACTGATCATAGTTAACACACCTTTTTCTATAATATTCGCACTATTTTATTGAAAAAGTGCTCAAAAGTAAAAAAACTTAATTTTTGAAAAGCGGTTTCGTTGGTTTCTGCCATATCAATCATATTACTGTTTTTATGTCAGTAAGATACAGTTCATCAGTAAGATAACACATAAAAATTAAAACATGCGGATAGTTATAAAACTAGTAGTTTTGCTAAAAAGATGTATAGTTTGTGCATAAATTTTATTAACTGCATTGCTTTATTTCCTACATTTTACGCAATATTTTACACACCATGTTTTACATGTGTCATGTTTGTTACAAAGGTTTGAAGCCGTGCTACATGAATACACTACCAAACAAAAGTGATAGTAAAATAGTAAAATAAATAGTAAATGCAATTTGTGTGCTTAAGCCAAACCTTAGTTTTCAAAACAAACAAACAATAATTTATACATGAGAAACTTGTGTATATAAAAGGAAATAATTACTTTTCCATGTTTTGAGTCAGTGCTAAGCAATCTCCCTTTTAAGTGGAGTTTCCAACCGTTTGACTATTGTTGGTATAGGATGGCTTTTTAGTAGAAATATTGTAGCCCTTTGGTTTTTTGTCGCTTTCTAACTTAGGGTCACCTTGGCTCTAAGTTCCACATTCCAAATTCAACACTTAAAAATGCTGTTAAATTTAAAACCCCGTCTTGGACTGCAATTGCCGGGACGCTGCACCCAGCTGGCAATCAGTCGCTATGCCAGCAAAGGTGGCGGTAAGGTGGACCAGGAGGTGCTGGAGCAAATGGAGGAGGGCTTCAAGAAGCTGGCCGAGTCGAAGTCCAAGTCGCTGCTGAAGAAGCATCTCACCAAGGAGATCTTCGAGAAGTTGAAGATGAAGACTACACCGTCGTACAATTCCACACTGCTGCACTGCATCAGCTCGGGAATGTGCAATCATGACTCCGGCGTTGGACTCTACGCTCCCGATCCGGAGGCATATAAGGTGTTTGCCGATCTCTTTGATCCCGTCATCGAGGAATACCATAAGTGCTTCAAGAAGACGGACAAACAGCCGGCGACTTCTTTCGGCAAAGGTGCGGACTTTGAAAACCTGGATCCCGATGGCCACTTTATCGTATCCACGCGTGTCCGATGCGGAAGAGCCGTCAAAGGATTCCCCTTCAATCCCTGCCTGACGGAGAACGACTACGCGGAATTGGAAAGTAAGATCTGTGGGGTAGTGTCATCCCTCACCGGGGAGTACAAGGGCAAGTACATGCCACTGACCGGAATGGACAAATGCGTACAGCAACAGCTCATAGAGGATCACTATCTGTTCAAGGAGGGCGATCGATTTCTGGCCGCCGCTGGAGCCTCTCGATATTGGCCCGCTGGAAGGGGCATCTTCCTGAATAAAGCCAAGAACTTTCTGGTGTGGTGCAACGAGGAGGACCACATACGCATCATCTCGATGGAGAAGGGTGGCGACCTGGGCAAGGTCTACGATCGCATGGTTGGCGGCGTGGAGGCGCTCGGCAAGCAGCTGCAGTTCAACAGAGATGAGCGACTTGGCTTTCTGACCTTCTGCCCCACCAATCTGGGCACTTCCATTCGCGCCTCGGTGCACATCAAGCTGCCCAATCTAATGTGCGAGCCCGAGGAGATGAAAAAGTTGGCCGACAAGTATCGCCTCCAAATCAGAGGAACCTCGGGCGAGCACTCAGAGGCTAAGGGCGGGGTGCACGATATATCCAACCAGCGCAGGATGGGACTCACCGAATACGAAATTATCAAGGAGATGCACGACGGAATCAAGGGCCTCATAGAAGCCGAGTGTAAGGCAAGGTCATCTTAGTTTTTAAGGCTGTGATTGAACTCGGACTTCACTCTTTAAATTTAGGTGTTTTCTTTCATAAAGAAATAAATATTTGTATACCATTTAAATAATATAAAAACAGAGTAGCAAAATTGGGGCAATGTATCTATCCATTAAATACGAAATATCCGTTGAGTTTTAATTTTTTTTGTATTTTTTTAATAATTTTAATTCTTTTATAAACTTAAGACTTAAATAAAAGTATTTAAAGTTCTTTTTTTTGTTTTTGCTTGACACAGATGTCAAAATGTTTTACATTGTTTGGTTGTAATTAAGCAAATGTTTTTTTGTCAAATAGTTATCCGTTGTTGTTGCTGCTGCTGCTGCTGTGGGTGTTGGTGGTGTTGCAAGATGGGATCCCTGCCTGCGCCCGCGACCCTCAAAGTATACGAAAATGCCGAAGGTCGCCGGACTGGGACAGCAGCTCCACACCATCGCTACAAACTAAGACATTTTTGCAGTCCGAACCGCCCAAAAGCGACAAGGCGGACGAGCCGAAGATTTCTAAGTGTTGCTGTTGTTGTTCTTGATTGTTGCGTGTGCCCCGAACTGGTGGCTGCCGTGGATAGATGTTAGCTCCGGAGGACGCACCTCCAGCCGGGGGGACGATGCTCGGCGGTTGGCGGGCAATTTACAGGCTCTTCTCGAGCTTGATCAGCTCGGTGATGCCATCGTACATCTCCTTGACGGCCTCGAACTCGGTCAGACCCATGCGACGCTTGTTGGAGATGTCGTAGACACCACCCTCAGCCTCGGTGTGCTCACCGCGGGTTCCGCGCACCTGCAGGTTGTACTTGGCGGCAACCTCCTCCAGCTTAGCCTTGTTGGAGGCCAGCTTGGGCACCTTGATGTGCACGGAGGCACGGATGGTGGTGCCCAGGTTGGTGGGGCAGAAGGTCAGGAAACCGAGACGGTCGTCGTGGCTGAAGGGCACACGCTTCTCGATTTCGTTGACGGCGGTCACCAGACGCTTGTAGATCTGGCCCAGATCACCGCCCTGCTGCATGGAGATGATGCGGAGATGGTCCTCCTCGTTGCACCAGACCAGGAAGGTCTTGGCATCGTTGTGGTAGATGCCACGGCCGCTGGGCCAGAAGCGGCAGGCGTTGGCGGCCTGCAGGAAACGATCGCCCTCCTTGAACAGGAAGTGGTCGTCGATCAGCTGCTGCTGGACGGCCTTCTCCATGCCAGTCAGGGGGTAGAACTTGCCCTTCAGCTCGCCTTCCAAGCCGGACAGAGTGCTGCTGACCTTGCCTTCCATCTCCTTGTACTGGGCCTCGGTCAAGCAGGGGTTGAAGGGGTATCCCTGCATGGAGCGACCGCAACGCACGCGAGTGGAGATCACGTACTCGTTGGTGGGGTCAACGTTGCCGAAGGTGGACACATCGCCAAAGGTGGAGGCCGGGTGCTTGTCGGTCTTCTTGAAGCCACCATGGTAGTCCTCGATGATGGGGTCGAACAGGTCGGCGAACACTGTGTAAGCCTCGGCATCGGGGGCGTAGATGCCCACGCCAGAGTCGTGGTTCTCCAGGCCGGACTGGATCACATCCAGCAGGGTCGACTTGAAGGTGGGCGTGACCTTGTTCTTCAGGTTGTCGAAGACCTCCTTGGTCAGGTACTTCTTCAACAGCGACTTGGAGTCGGAGGCAGCCAGCTTGGCGTAACCCTCCTCCAGTTTAGCGAGAACAGCGGCATCAACCATGGTGTCTTGTTTGCTGCAAAAACAGAGATAGAGAGCGAGAGAGAGGGTAAGAATGGGGTATTGACCATTAGTGAAAGGGCGTGGCTGGGGCGACAGTACAACATTTTATCGCCTATCTTCGTTTTGTGGCGCCCAAAAGTCGGCAACATGTTTTCTTGTGTTTCTGTTTTCCTCGATTCCTGCCTGTTTGCCCCGCAATTAGTTTCGGGTTATGGCCATGTGCTCATACTCCAGTTGGGCCTGTGGCACGCGACTGCCACATATACCCACCACTCCCTGCCCCTTCAGCTCACTACACCCAGTAGTGCCCAGTATCCCGTACCCATCACCCCTGATCCCACAACGCCCCTTTTTTAGTGGTGGTGGCTCTGGTTTTGCTGCTCGGTTGTGCCCTGCTTTCGGTGGTGGCTGAGTGACTATGAAATTTTGCCGGCTGCCGCTGAATACGCAAATCGACGACACACTATACACCCACCGCCCCTCTGCCCTCTTCTCTCCGTCGAGGGACATGCGCACTACAACAACATGGCTACCCAGCCGAAGTCCTGGACAAAACGAAGGACCAGGGCAATAATAACTTTTTTATGGCACTTTATTTTTGGGCGCTCATGCACTTACACACACACACACACATGACGTCAGCCCCCTTCGTCCACCCAACCAGGATATACAGACAACTTTTGTCTAGGAGTCGTAGGCCCACTAACAAAAAAATAAATACCAACAAAAAAGTGGAGCCCGGAACCCCGGGATACACACCCATCTCCTCCAGCGCCAGCTGCCGTGGCGGTGCCATTGGGTTCACCATTGGCCACCTCGCCCTCGATCACCTTCTCCTTTTTGTCCTTGGAGGCGCAGAGACCCATTTTGCGTGTGGTTTTTGTGGGGTTTGATGTAAAGTTTTCAAAAAACGTTTAAAAATTTGGCGTTGGCTTGGTCACAAAGTCGGTGTTTTTTTGTTTGTATATAAAAAAACCAATTTTCGTTTGTTTGGTTGCGTTTGCAGGTAAAATGAAATCACAATGCAGCTTTAGCTCTTCAAGGATCTCGATCGGGGATCCCTTGTTTTTCTTTTTTTTTGTAGAACACACACACTCTTTTCCTCAGACACAGACACACACGCTTGGCTTAACGCTATTGCTTTTGATTTTCGGTGATTGGGATTGATTGATTCTCGTTTTAGCGTATATATCTCTCTGATTGAATTGGTGGTCTTCTTCGTTGGTATCAAAATATCGGACGCAACAATGTTGTAAATTTTATATCCTTATTGAGAGACTCCGGCGACTGGGATTTTCGCTGCTGCCGCGCCCAAATGTATACTACACTAAACAAACACTACGCGATGCTATTTTGGGGGAGCAAAGGACTTGCTGACTGCTGCTCGGCTGGCTGACTACTGCTGGAGCTGCTCTGCTCTGCTCTGCTCTGGTCTGGTCTGGTCTGGTCTGGGGTCTGGCCTGCAGAATATTTTAGCGCGCGACACTTTGACTCGCGAGCGTTGGACGGGACTATCGGCAAAGGACGAACGGGAACAAACCCAATCGGCAAATCGAAAGGAACTGACGGCTGGAGAGGAGTCGCACCCAAGGGCCCGCACTTTATCGCCGGCATTAGGCCGCATTCAGCGCTCTCCGCTGGGAGAGTGTTGGCCGGAGTTCGAATGAGAGTGCGCTCAATCGAAGTAGTATATTTGCCGAATATTCCGGGAGGGTGGTCACGTCGGATGGAGGTTGGAGAGGGTTGAAGCAGCAGTGGGATTGCCTACCCGCAGGCGCCGGCTGCGGCTCAAACTGTTGCCGGATGAGCGGCAACATAATGCGGAAGGATATATTTACACGATGCGCTGGACCCACCACCAACCACCCAATGTCCTGGTCCATACCACACCGCCTCCCCTGCCCGAATCAATAAGTTTATAGCACGCGACTGGCAGCTGGGCATGGTTGAGCCTCCAGTCAGGGCGGTCAAGTCAAATTCAAGTGTCGGGCTCAGAGTGTGAAATGTGCTGTGGTAATGACAGGAATCGGGTACATGTACACTCCACTCCACTCCACTACCACCCTCCCTCCCTCGTCGCATGGCCCGCCCCTCCCCTAAAAGGACTTCTTGAGTGTGTACAAAAAATCAATTACTCGGCAAATGGAAATCAAAGCCAGCTTGCAGGATTCCCAGCACAAGGACACGGGCACTTGAGGCTTGTGAATTAACCCATTGCGGGTTGAATCGAACTTGAGTGCAGTGCAGGGAACTGGTTCCAATTGCACGTCAGACTCGAACACTCATTGCATGTCTAATGCACATTAGGTTGTGAAAAAAAGGTTTCATTTACTATGCCCCCTATATTTTGCCGTCTTTTGTTTTGTTTTGGCCAATTTCTATTGCAGCTTCAATTACTCAGTGGAGGGCAGTAGTCGGAGTGAGTAATCGCAGGCGATCACTTACTTTTCCTGTCGTTTTCCAATGCCATTTGGCTTTGGCTCCGTAAATATTTATTGCGAATTGAAAACAATTTGCGATTTTAACTGCTGCTCCGGTGGCAAGTGTTTATTGATTTGCTGTGGAAATTTCTACAACATTTGGGAGTCATATGAGCCGTTTCATTTGGTACCGTATTGGCGTATTGGCACTCCACATGAGTAATCTCGGGCTTGTTAATGCCTCATAAAGATAGTGAGCTTTGCGAATTGCGAATGCAATGTACCCAAAGTAACCGAAGGGGGCGTTGGTTGGCAACTTCTAGGTTTTAAGTGGCTCCGAATCATGCCAGATAATAGTAATGACTTATTGGCCGGCCTGTCTGGAAGGCGTTGAAACTAATCAATTAACTCAAGTGCCGCCCTGATAGACAAACAGAAACTGGAGCATAACACTAAATAAGCAGTGCAGGAGGAAAAACCCCCCAGTTCAAAGGCACTTAAAAGCGAGACCGGCAAATCAAATTAAGCTGACGCGCACAGTTGGAAAAAAGAAATGGATTTCATTATGTAACCCTTGATGAGCAACGAATTCTAGGGGGTAGGACTCTAGACAGGATATCCCCGAGGCAGGATCAGCAGAGCAGCTCTAGCACTTTTTGGGGTGGCTCTAATCACACACGCGCCACCCAACAAGTCGGCTTAATTCGATTTGGGCTACTTAGAGCCTTCGCTTTATAACAATATCGCGCACGGATTTTATTTGCAACCGTCAAGGCTTAGCAACAATTCGCGAATGGCTGGCGAAAATCGGCGATTGCCAGTAGGCAAACAGCAATTCACCTGCCTGAAAACTGGAGCTGGAGCAAGAGAGCTGGTGAGAGAGCCGAGAGTGTATAGTGTATATTGCATATTGGCCAGGAGAGTTAGCCAGATAAGTCAGTCAGTCAGCCGAGTTGATAAGCTTTAAACTTCAAATCGTAAAACGTCTCACTTGTCAGCGATGATCAGGCAAAGTAGAGATAAAGTCGAGATAAAGTATCGGACTTAAGCTACAAATTCTATTCTTATGGCCAAAAGGGGCTGTTTGGCCATCATATAAATGCTTGCAATATAAATCGCAATCAAATGTGGGGAAATTGGCAAAGACAACGCTACTAAACGGCCAGTGCAGTGGGTAAGTTTATGGCCAACGGGGTCTGGTCATTCACCCGAGAAATCGCTGCAATAGTTGCCTTCGTTAATTGCGATTTTGGCCAGTCGAATGCACAAAGAAATTGGCAAGTGTACGAAAATAATTCGCCAATGTATTTCGGGAAATTGGCCGACGTGAGCGACTGCAACGGGAAATTGGGAACGGCGGGCAGTCAATCTACTCCGAAACTGGTCATCGGGATTTGATAAGGGGAATGGAAAGTTTTTGGGCCCAATCACAATCACAAGCATAACTGATAAACCAAACCAAATGAGTGTATGGCCAACATTCATTCACACACTCATTTCGACACTAATTGAATCTGGACATGGATATGGATATGGACATGGACATGGAAACCCTCTCCACAAGCAATAATTCCAGCCAGCAGTATTCGCATTCTGCCAATAACAATGCTGGCTGTGACATGAATTGGACATTGAAGCTCTTATTAATAAATATCTGGCCTTATAGGGGTCCGGGTTATTAGGGGTTAGCTGGAGATACAGAAGTATATTAGGGTGCTGATGGTCACCCGCATTTTATGGTGGGATTCTCCTCTTTACGCTATAGTTTTTCCTCTGGCGGGCATAATTTAATTAAAATTCTTTTGGCAAAACGTCAAAGCGACTCACACTCAATTAGGCAGCATGCTCAGAAATATAAGCAAAAAATATATGAATAAACTGAAGATGAAGGAAAATATATCTTTTTGCTCAGCAGCAGCAAGTGGTGAAAAATATGGGCTGCAGTCACTAGCCGGATGTCGTTGATTTAAATTTTGCGCTGTCTGGCAAGACAATCAGCGAAAATCAGACGGGGCTTCATTAAGACACAGAGAATGCAAAGGGTTATAAGTAGGATGCATATATTGCGGGGATTCTGGTCATAAGAGTTCTTAGGGTACGAAAAAAATTGGCAGCATTCGCGAACTTTATTTAAATTATTTTCTTTAATACGAGAAGTGTTTTACTTTCCCTTTACTGGATTTTCACGTTGATAAATTTATTTACTATAGTTTCTGGCGCCATCTATGAAATTCTACATCACGTAAATGTAAAATGTATATTACTTTGTACATGTAAAAAGTAAAATGGTACACTTGGAAGCTGCCCCACAATTAAGGACAATGGCAACAGGAAGCTTTTACCACCCAGAAGTCCTTGACAACTTTTTAAAGAGAGCCAAAAAGCTTTCATTCATTCTGTAACAGTGTGTTCAGGAATATTGAGTAGCCTATTCTTTCCCCGAAGGAACCTAAACCACTCGATTTGTTTACGATTTTGCTGAAACCCAAGCGATTCAAAATATTTGTTTATTTAACTGGCTAAATGATTTGCGAAGCAAATCTGCTTGGTGTTATTCGAAGTTGATTGGCTGGCACTGTGGGTTGCCATTCCCGCCTCTGCCGAGCCTTTTCTCTGATTTTCTGATTTATGTGTGCGATTCCATTTCCTGTCTAGCCAAAGAACCCAACCCAGCCAGCTTTGATTATGCAACCTGCAGCCTGCCTTTTGTTTGGCCACGGAAAATAGAAGCGTTACCCAGTTAACTATCTAGACTACGGGAAATACGGTTTTCCCAGCTTTTTTATGTGACAAGTTAATCGGAGGGCTGGCTTCTCCTCGCTCGCTCGCTTTTTTCCGACTCTGCCTTTTCCGTTCCTATTCAAGTCGAGCGCTTTAATGGATCTCAATTGAATAATTAACAGCAACGTGCCAGTGGAAAAGAAAAAAAAAATAGAAAAAACTGAGTACTATGAGGGGCATACAATTTGTACAACAAATTTGCGCGATTTGTTTGCTGAATATAACAAAACCATATGATATACAAAGCCCAATTTCATATACAAAGACCGACGTAAACTTGTCAGCTGCTCACCTATATAAAATACCTATGGAATTTTCGTGTGTTTGGGTTACTACCTATACCTATACATAGCTACCCTATCCATCTGTATTCCCCGATGTGTGCCCGGTGCTTTTGTTTTGCTTATTTGCTTTGGCGGGGTTGTATTTATAGCAGCCGGCATTATATCAACCCGAACTAAATTTGGCCGGGTAAATTCGATCGGACGTGCCCAGTGGCTCTCAAACTGCGCCTTATATAATTGTCGTTCAGCGATTGCGTTGTCCTGATTTCTGATTTCTGCTGGCCCAGCGCATTACTGGTTAAACGGATTGTAATATTAGATAAAACACCTAGCTGTGGTTATGCAACTGCCTGGCATTGACCGTGAATACAAATGCTTTACTGCCGAGTAAGAACTTTTTCTTATTTATAGCCGTCGCTGGCGAGAGGCAAGTTCAAGGAGTGGAAAATAAAACAGCAAATAAAGAACCAAGCAGCCACACAAGTGCTAACTGAACTCTCGTTTTGTCGCCTCTTATCTACCACCATTCAATTCAGTTAGTTTGAATGGTATTAACACGCGCCAATATCTTATCGAAATCGATACAGAAACACGCTACGCACAACACTTTCTAAGAGCCAACAAACGACCGACCTTAAACTGCACCCCCGCAAACATCGAGCCCCCAGAATGCCGCTCCCTCCAACCATTTCACTTGGCAAGCGGTACAGTTCTCCGTTCATTGGCATTTGGCCGCAAAAAAAATTGCACAACTAAATGGTATACAAAATGCATCAGACTGGCGGACGGACGGATCGTCAGCGGTTGCCAGACCGTGACAGCAGAGGGCCAAACAAGTTTCTGCAGTCTGGCTGGCAAAATACAAAAGGAAAAAAAATCCGAAACTGCATAACTATAAACTTTAAGCTTTCTTGCTTATAGCCGCCCGTATAAATTTCTTTTCGCCGGTAACCGGTTTCGGTTTGCAAAAATGCATCGCATGACTCAACTGGGGATGTGAAAATTGAACTCAAGCTCACGGCACAGAAAAATGATTAAATCTCTGCTTATATTCATTGAAAATTTGGCTTAAGAATTAGGAATTAGATTT